TCTATCTATCTATCTATCTATCTATCTATCTATCTATCTATCTATCTATCTGTTTGTCCTCATATAATTAATCTAGCAATAAACAAGCATTTAAATCACAATACAAAATAGACAAGAAAAGTTTCAGTTCATTTAAACATTTAACCTTGACTGCCTTGATTCTTCTGATTTATGCATCATTGATGCACTCGTTTGTTCTGCAGTCCTCCGACTCACAAAGCCAACAAAGCACTAGACCTCATTTTCACAAAAAATGTGCCACAGAGGCCCTCTCTGTCACACCTCTGCACTTTTCTGACCACAGTTTCCTTCAATTAAGAGTGATTCTCCCAAAAAGACCCATCGCTTCTGCCTCCGTCGTTTCCTTCCACTATAATCTTCCCGACTTTCTCCCACCCACTTCACCTCCCTTGTTGCATCCGCTCTTACAAACTCCGACGCATTTTTCCTCCCTTGAGGTTAATGAGGCCACGTAGTCCCTCTGCTCCCTACTGAGCTCTTGGTTGGATAGACTGTGTCCTCTATTCACCAAACATGCTCGATCCTCTTAGTCGGACCCATAGCTTAGTGATACTCTTAGATTAATGCTCAGCAATCTCAAGGCTGCAGAAAGGAAATAGCTCGGATCAAAAGATCCTGCAGATTTAATAAAATTCTAGTTACTAGTGTCAGCATGCTCATTAAGTGTCACTGATGCAAAAAAAGGCTTTACACTGATAAGATTTGCAGTACGATTGACACCCGAAACCTATTTTCCATCTTTCAAACTCTACTCAACTCTCCTCCTCCACCTAATTTTTTGCTGATAAAATGGCAGCTATAAACGAACCGTTTACCGACCTGCCCACACCTAAACCTTTTCAAAACACATATCCAAGCAGAAGTCCTATTGCTTATTTTGTCATTCACCCCTTTCACTGACAGCAGTCTGTCAAAATTTGTCACATGTCCATCGTAATACATGACCACTCGACCTTGTTTTGACCAACTTCTTCCAGTCCATAGTTCGTACGGTAAATGTAGCAGTCAAGAATGTGATTAATGCTTCGCTGACATCAGGCATATTTCCTACCTCATACAAGCAAGCCTGGGTTATACCACTGCTTGAGGAACCCTCTCTCCCATATACTCTGTTAGAGAAATTTTGGTCTCTCACCTCCCTTTTGTGTTTAAGACCATTGAAAGGGCAGTCTTTAAAAAAAAGTCACAGAATACCTCTCACAAAACAACCTGCTTGATAAAAAACAATGTATGTGTAGAAGTGGCCACTCCACTCGGTTAGCTGAAACTGTTCAGATGGCTGTGACAGAAGCCTAAAAAGAATCCAGAGCAACAGCAAAGTCCTCAGTACTTATCCTTCTCAACCGCATCACTTGCATTTGTTACACCCAATCATGAAAGCATTCTGTCTAAATACTCTTGAGAACATTCCTGGTTTGAATTGTATCTTAATGGTCAGTCATTCAAGGTATCCTGGCTTGCTCACACTTCCTTAGCATACCACCTCACCACAAGGATCCCCCAAAGTTCATTACTGGGACCTCTTCTCTTTGCCATATACACCATCTCACTGGGCCAGATAATCCAATTACATTACTTTTCTCACCACTGCTGATACCCAGCTCTATCTGTCATTCCCATCTGACGACCACACAGTGTCAGCTTGTATCTAAGACTGTCTCTCTGACACATAAAAATGTATGCAAGCCTATCACCGATCTCTCTAAACCTGAACTGGTTGTCTTTCTAGCAATACCAACCAAAGCAGCTGAAAACTTGGGTGTCATGATTGATGACTAACTGACCTTTAAAGATCTTGTTGTTTCCATGGCTTGATCATGTCGCTTCAAATTACAAATAAGAAAAATTCGGGCATAGCTAACCCAACATGCCATCCAGCTCTTGGTGCAGTACGTGGTTATCTCCCGCCTTGACCATTGCAGTTATGTCCAGGTTGGTCTCCCAGCCTCTACTGTAAATTCTCTACAAATGATCCAGAGGCAGTGGCACATCTGGCCTTCAATCAGCCCAAAAAGTCCAACAGCACCGAAGGTCTGCTCTGCTATGTTTTTGTTTCTCTCTAAATTCCGTCTGATTGGGCCAGCCCATTGGCCACAGAGGGCTATCAGTGTGTTGCCAGCATCGACACATATAATAGGTCTATTGTTTGTCATTTTCAATCAATAGTATGCTAACATGCTAGAGAGCCATGACAGTGCTACCAATCACAACATAAACCAAGGTGGGTTGGAACCTCATGGCATGGGAGTCACAGGACTGGCTGCTGCTGAGCTAAATACTAAAGATTAAGATAGGTACACCACCGACTTCATTTCCCGAAGACACTGTTTTTATTAATCACTTCAAAAGCTAATGGTCTTTATATTTAGACTTACCTTGAACGTCAGCTTGTACTCTCTGGGAAGCAGGAAAAGCAGTGAAGCAAGGCAAAATCATCCCTAAAAAAATAAGAGCCTTGCTTGGAGGACCTTGAGTATGGCAACAAATTTAAACAAATAAAAGCAATTTTGGATAAACAAGGGGGGTTTTCACCCATAAACCCTCTTTTGGCTAAGCAAAAGTGTTCGGCATCTCAGATTTCAAGCTGAAGTCCCTAAAGATGGAGGCTGCAAAGTCTGTCAAAGTGATTTACCTATTTGGTGCCAGAGACAGCACCCCAGAAGCAGGAACTGCTACACCGAAAGACGACCAAGGACTACTCGAGATGATAAGCAAGTGGAGGAAGATGTGGTAAGTAATGTTAGCTGAGTAAAAGCTGTGGCAAAGATGTATTTGTGATGGATAGTGATACGTTGTCATTCAACTGAAAGACAGATGCAATTTTTTCAGCAATTAAGGTTTTTATCAATCCTTTATAGAATATATCTTACATTTTTTAATCAGACCATTAATAATAGTGTTTTTAAAAATGCATTTTACAGCTGAGCCATATTTATACATATTATAATACATAGAGCGATACCGCAGGTCTTTTATTCCTGCTGCTACCAGAGTGTACAACTCTGCACTTTAACAACTGCTGTGCAATTGTGTTATATTTATTGACCTGTATAATATGTGTACTGTGTGTGAGCCCTCAATGATTGTATATATTTTAATCACCCAAATCTCTACGCTGTGTTTCTTTCTTTGTATATTTGCTTGCTT